GAGAAGATCAACATCAAAGACTCATCATACTCTCAACAAGGACCGAGGATCATCAACCTCAACAAGACACAAAACCATAAACAACAAAGGACAACACAACTCGAAGTGCAACCTACCATTCACAAGGTAGAGTTCATCATACACATGCTCATAAGCAAGGAAATACACAATCACATAATGACAAATTCACGTTCCAACCTTATACCTTAGTACCACCCTTATGGCTACCCCCAGCCTTATCGCAGTTCCAACCTGTACCTCCGAGTACCACCCTATACTTCTAAGTCCAACCTTTTCCCGGTCTAGGACCGTCGTCCCCCGACAAACTTCCGCGGAACTCATAGTACACGAGGGTACCGTACAAATCATAGTAACATACCACCGATCATGTGAGCAAAGCTCAAGTAACAAAACCACTAATCTCATTCGTATTCACACATAGTCATCATCATCAAGAAGACTAAGGCTCATCAATAGCCCAAATCAAGTTTCAACAAAGTATACAACGATTTGTACAAGAATACACCATAAGAATCAATCAAGGGATTTCAATAAAGTCATGAGACAATACTCAACAATCAAGGACTATAATCCACATCAAAATGATTGACAACGCGAGTTGCCAACCCACAACAAGAAGGAACAAACCGTACATACTAGCATATCAACATCAAACTAGCATGCTCATCAAACGGATAAACCAATAGGGTTCCAACGAACCTTCAAGACTCATATTAGCCCAACGAATCACAAAGTTGGACCCTTAGCACGATTCAAGACACCAAATCCTAACATGGATTCCTAACACATCGTTCTAGACATACGAAACATCAAGAAGACTCACAAAGAGCTCAATAATCCAACAACGGGAGGTCAAAACATCAAATACCAAGAAGAAAAGATCACGGGGAACAAATCGACGCAACCCACATCTGTGTTCCCCGCGGGTGGGGCCACGGGTAGGCCCCCACCCGTGGTCCTGCCCGCGGGGTATATACCCAATTCAACCTTGTTCCCCGCGGGTGGGGCGACGGGTAGGGTACTGCCCGTAGGGTACACTACCTGTACACCAATTTCCCTTCGGGGATTTTCATCATCAAGGTCAAGTTCAAGTCTAAAACACCCAAAATCTCACACACAACAAAGATATGACTTGAACCCAAGAATAAGCCAAGCAACGAAATTCAGGAAACCTAAATACAAGCTCTAAACATGCATCATCACAAGATCATGCATCAAATCTCACAAATCACATCAAAAACATCAAGTAGAAGTCAATAATCATCATTTAGGTAAGAAAATATATTTTGTATAGCATGGGTTACCTTTGAAGACCACAACCTCTTCCTTTTCACTCTCGTAAGCCTCTTCTTAGAGCTCTTCTTCCTCACCAACTTCTTACACAAGCCAAAACACAAGAAAGATTCTAACTTAGATAAGGACACCCAAAAGATAAATGGCTAAAAACACCAAATAGCTAAGAATCTTATCCTTTCGTACGCTTGGGAAGAAGGAAGTAGGAATCTTGGTGTGGGATCTTGCAAAGCTAGAAGGTTTTCCTTTTTGCTTGAAGAATAAGCTAGGTTCTTTTTAGAGAGATGATGGAGTGTTTGGGACTTAGGCTTGAATGAAAAATGAATGGAATGTCTTGCTAGGGATAGCTTGAACAACAATTCATGGGTGAAAGGTTACTTTTACCCTTACTAAGGTTGGAAAGACAAGGGGGTAAAGGTACAAACCATAAAGCACAAGGTACACTTGATTGACTTAAGTGACAAGTTAAATTCTAGTCCCTCGGCTATTAAATTTCAGGATTTTTAGGAATGGATTACCAAAGAAAGCTAGGATTAATTCTTCAATTAATCCCAATTAGTATTTAGAATTACGGGGTGTCACAAATAATGTGGCGAGATCGATCACCTTTGAGATGTAAAGTCTCATCTAAACACCGGGCCAATTTGAAAAAGACTAAAGGTTTGACTAAATACGGATGGGCGGAGATTTTCCGAGTTAGTCGTAGCGATGTTAGTTTGACCTAGGGCAACCGATATAATCTGAGACATCTGATTAGAGGCTGACCGGGGTCGCAATTGGGAGTGAAGGTCGAACTATATGTGATTGGGATCTCCTTTGCCAACGGAATTTTGATAAGGATACATGATCGGGGACTCAGAGCCGATCTCGCCGCTTATAGTATCGGGTTCCCACGGACGGCGCCAAAATGATGTAGTAAATACACCAGATTATATGAGTAAGATCTACATAGCGATTACAATATGTGAGCTCAGGAATGTGTGACAATGTGTCAGAGGCTCCCGAGCTAGCATAAGTTAGGTCAGAATCCAAAAAAAAAAAAAAAAAAGGTCCCCTCTCAAAGCAATAAATGTACTATTTATAAGGGAACGGAGGGGGTACATGCCGAGTTTTCGGCATTCTTGCGACGTGTCTTACATGCTCCGGCTCATTCGGTGGTCATCTCAATAGGTACACATGGACAACAATTCCTGACATGTTTTTTTTTTTTTTTTTTCTGGTGAGGTCGGGCAGAGCGATAAGCACATGAATTTTGTCCTTTAGCATAAGAGGCAAATTGACAGGAGGGTCTGACTTGAGCGCTAAGGTCGGGACCTAGCTAAGAGAGCATCGTGCACTGGCCGATAAGGAGGAATCGGGATATGCTCTCTAGGTCTAGTCCGTTCGACTTCATAGGATGTCGGTTTTGCTCGAAAAACGTTCCTTGAGGCGATGGGTTATGTTTCGAGCATACGGTTATAAGCTCGGGGAATATTCCCTATCACATATCTTTCTTGATCATTGGTTGCTGAGTTATGATAGCCTTCATTTTATCACATCTTACAAGTTAATTCACTTTTTCTACAAATATGTTATAAACTTATATACTATGTAACACTAAAATTGGAAACGAAAATGAAAAACAGATAACAAGATAAAGAGAAATGGCATATTCAAAAAATATAAGAAACGAAATATGTGCAAATGTGCAAATATAAATCTTAATTATTCAATAATTAAAAATATTTCACTAATAAATAATAATGCACCAAAGCACAAATAAATAGTGAAATAGTACATCAATTACCACTAAATCTATTTAAAATAGAAATACAATGTCTAAACTCCAAAACACTTTTAACCTTAGAGGGTGTACGTATTCAATCATGACTTTCGTAAGCTTTTAAAGACTTTTATGAACTTTAAAAGTTTGGAGATATTCATTTCAAACTTTTAGAGAGTCTTTAAAAGTCGGGCGATATTCAATCAAGATTTCTTAAGAGTTTTTAAAAGTCGGGTGGTATTCGATTAAGACTTTTAAAGAATCTTTAAAAGTCATGTGGTATTCAAAAAGTTATGAATATGTGACGACTTTTTAATTTTACGACTTTTGTACACTTTTTCTTCTCAAATATAAAGAGTTGAAATCCAACCAAAACCCCAAGGTTTCAAAATTTTCTTTTTACCCACTCTGGAGGTTTTCTGATCTCTCTCTATTTAAATTCTATTTTTTTTCCCAAAGAGCAGACTTGGAGAAGTGTTACAGCCCAGAAAAATCTATCAGGCAGATATGAAAGCATGTTCAAACATGGATCCTCCTCTCCATGGAAAAAGAGCCAGCAGAAATTCCAATGTTTAATGCAGCATTGTAAAATCCAAAAGGAGCATAGCAAAAATCAAACTCATGGACACAAAATCCAAGTTTGACAATCAAAACTAAAGCATATGAACTCATAAGACTGCAATTAACAAATATGATAATCAATGAACAAACAAAAGTAGAGTAAAATAAATGAGGTTAGCAGAACTATGATTTATGCATAAAAGAAAAGAATAGAAAGTTACACTATATGAAATTAAGAATATAATGGAAATCATACTAAACTGACGAAGAAAGCGTAAATTAAACCCCGATAATCTGGTGCAAGGCCGGCAATTTGTGAGATAGAAACAAATGTATATAAAATGATAAAGAATCAAAATCATTGAAAGTTCGTAAAGATGTATTCAATTTAGATTGTCGTTAACGGTGTTATACTGTGCATAATTTGAACTATATATCTAGAATTAATGAACTATATATCCAGAATTAGTGAACTATACATCGGTTACTGACCTGGTACTCTGTTTTGGCTTATGGCAGTTCGATGCGTCTGTGTATTCCGAATGAATGAACTATATATTCAGAATTAATGAATTATAAATTCAGAATTAGCGAACTATATATCCAGGATTAATGAACTATATATCCAGAATTAGTGAATTGCGTATCCAGAATTAATGAACTATATATTCAGAATTAGTGAACTATATATCCAGAATTAGTGAACTATATATCCACACCGAAAATGGTGGAAATCCCGTCAATTGGAGTTTTAAAAAAAAAAATTGATTGGTGGAGTTAAACAGTGCCACTAACGGCTCCGTTACTCAACCATAGTGAAACGACGTCGTTCGCAACCGTATGCACCATGCATGGTGCACACGGTTGCACAACTTAACAATTGTTGAAATACTGCTTATTGAATCAGCGCGTCCATGCGGGCATTACAAGTTACTACTAGGGCTGTTAACGAACCGAACATAAACGAACGGAGGTTGTTTGGGTTCGTTTGTTAAGGTTTTTGGAGTGTTTGTGTTTGTGTTCGTTTGTTAAGATTTTTGAAAATCTTGTTCGTGTTCATTTGTTAAGCGTTCGTTAGTGTTTGTTAACGTTCACGAACATGTTTGTTAACATTAACGAATACGTTCGTGAATTCTTAACAACGAAACATATGAACATGTTCATGATCACATTTCGTTCGTGAACAAGAAATAATATATGTTCGTCAAAATAACCAAACAAGTAACACAACTACAAAGAAAATACAAACAAATATTAAACAAACACAACGAGCTTGTTCACGAACATTATTAAACGAACAATAAATGAGCTTGTTCGCGAACATTATTAAACAAACACAAACCAACATGTTCATGATGCGAACGAGCTTACAACTGTTCGGACTATGTTCGTTTATAAAGCGAGCTCTAAATTTTGTTTGTTAATGTTCGTTTACCTTAACAAACGAACATAAACGAACACTTACCGAACACGAATACGAATAGTTTATCGAAAGCACTGTTCGCTAACACCCCTAGTTACTACTTGGCCCAAAGATTTCTGCAACGGTAGGACCCACACAATGTTTCGAAAGCCAACAGTCCGAGGGTTAAAATGAATGAAAGAACAGCAAAAACTTTCCATGGTATGTGTGCATTTCTCTTCATCTTCCTATAGACCCTGACGATCATCCTCATATCATAGAACTCATTGGTCGTCTTGATGGCAACCTCAATGTTGGACATCTTATCTAGTTTTGTGAAAAACCTTTTCATACCATTGAAGAGGTCCGCAGTTTCTTGGTCACTGAGAGTGCCCTTGATCACCCCATTTTGCCTCAATATCCTAACATCCTCAGCAGTGTCCACAATCCCATTCATCAAATTCACGTACCTCGCAAATTCCAAGGTTGATTTGAGCATGGAAGCCTCGTAGGCTACGAGGTTTCTCAGTATAACTTCTGAGCATGAGTTCAGAGTGATGACTGGGAGGTAAAGGGTGGCTTCGTGTTGGTCGAATTTGATGCTGCAGATGCCCCCTTGCAGAACTGGGGAGCATCTGATGCAAGCGTAGCGCCATAACGTGATGAAGTAATGCACAGCTCAATCATCCTCAGTCATCTCAAACATCTCAATAATGCATAATGCAGCACCTTCTGCTTTCTTTCCTAGCTTAATAAGTCAGGGGCCTTTTTGGCCTTTTCCCTTTCCCTTTGGCAGTTATAACGGCTTGTCTATATAGCCTATGAAGTGTTAGCTGTATTTCAGTTAGTTATTCATCTTCTCTTTCAGCTTGTAATCACATGAACTCTCTTCACCTTCTTCAATGGAACACATGCTGCTTTCTTTCTAACCTTTGAGGTTTCTCAACATGGTATCAGAGCGTTACCAGAGCTACGCCGCGGCAGTCACGGCGGAGACTTAAACCGGTGATGAGAATGGTGGCGAGCAAGCAACGTCGTCCGATCGCATTCCGATGAACTCTAGCCATGTTCAGCTCGTGGATGAGTTTCACGACCCTATGTACTTACATGTAACGGAGAATCCTAACCTCGTGCTCGTCTCTCCTCCTTTGTCAGAAGTTAATTACGCAACATGGAGTAGATCGATGAGAATTGCTCTCGAAGTTAAAAACAAATATGGATTTGTTGATGGAAGCATAGCAAGTCCTGCAGAGTCCGATCCGAGATTTCCGATCTGGAGGAGATGCAACAATATTGTATGCTCCTGGATCTTCAAGTCCCTTAGCCCTACGATTGCAGAGGGAGTGCTGTATTTCGAAGTTGCGGCTGAAATTTGGAGTGTTCTTAAGAAAAGATACTCTCAGGTCGATGCTCACAGAATTGCAGAGCTGCAAAATGAAATCTACAGAAGAACTCAAGGTAACCTTTCGATTAATGAATATTTCACTAAATCTAATGCTCTATGGGTCCAGATGAACGCTATGAGACCAATCCCTAAATGTGATTGTGTGCCGAGGTGCTCATGCGCACTCATTAGAAAAATTCAGAAGGAAAAACAGGAAGATCAGATTATTCGTTTCCTGGAAGAGCTGAATGAAGAGTATGAGAACATCAAGTCCGGAGTTTTGGTTATGGATCCTATCCCTGTTATGGAGAAGGTCCTTAACATGGCTCTCAAGATGGAAAGGAAGCTTAGAAACTCTGGCACCATGAAGAATCCCGATTTGATTCAATCCAATTCTGTGCAGAACATAACAGTGCAGAATTCAGATGATCAGTCCACTGTGGTTGTTGCAACTTCCTTTAACAAGAAGAAGTTCATCAATAATTCTGGGAAGAGTTTTCCTAAGTGTGTGTTCTATGGGAAACTAGGACACACGATTGAAAAATGTTACAAGAAGCATGGTTTCCCACCAGGGTGGATTCCAGGTTATAAATCTAAGGATAAACAAGCTCAAGAGACTCAGCCTGCTTCTGTGAACCAAGTTGGAGATGTAGGCCTCACTGCTGAGCAGTTTCAAAGGCTTGTGAGTTTGTTGCAGAACCAAGGCCAAGGGGGTCATTCATCTAATAATGCTGTGACATTGTCTAACACTGGAGTCAGTTCAGAATCCAGGAAGATTGCAGAGAAACATAATGAAGGCAAGTTCATCCTTAATCCTCATATTAATACTGTTCTAAATTGTCTTGATGTTTGGATCTTAGACTCTGGTGCAACTGATCATATCACTAGTTATTTGGACTACTTTGAATCTTATTATGTTGTTCATGGAGTATCAATAAGGCTGCCTAATGGAGAGACAGTTGATGTTACTCACATTGGGAATATTAAACTTCACATGGATATGATGTTGAAAAATGTGTTGTTTATACCATCTTTTTCCTTTAATATTGTTTCTGCTAGCAAGCTGGTAAGAGAATCAGGTTATGAGATTATTATTGGGGCTGATTGCTGTGATGTTCAGGGCCATCTTGGGAGGGTGGATGGTTTTGCTAAAGAGAAAGGAGGACTATATCTGCTCTCCAACCCTCCTATCAGGAAGAAGGTTCATTCTGTTCAGTCTGCTAATAACTCCAATGTAATGGCTTGTAGTAGTCTTTCTGCTGAAATATGGCACAATAGGCTGGGTCACTACCCAATGAATAAGATGCAAATGTTGAAAGGGGTGAAAATCTCACCATGTACTGCCTCTAAATCTGCTTGTGACACATGTCATTTTGCCAAACATAAGAAAGCCCCTTTTTCTCTTAGCAATAATAAATCTGAGAAATGTTTTGATCTAATCCATATGGATATTTGGGGACCTTTTTCTGTGGCTTCTCTTAATGGAGAACATTATTTCTTAACAATTGTTGATGATTATAGCAGATACACTTGGCTGCATTTAATGAAACATAAGTCAGAGGTCAGATCCACATTTCATAATTTCTATAATTATGTTCTCACTCACTTTGATGCCAAAATTAAGACTGTCAGAACTGATAATGGGAATGAGTTTCTGATGCAAGCTTTCTATAATGAAAAAGGGATTGTCCATCAAAGATCATGTGTACATACCCCTCAGCAAAATGGGGTAGTGGAAAGGAAGCATCAACATATTTTGAATATAGCTAGGGCCTTGAAGTTTCAATCTGGTCTTGTTGACAGTTTTTGGGGTCATTGTGTTTTGCATGCATCTTATCTCATAAACAGGCTACCCACTGAAGTTCTGGATGGCCAGTCTCCTTTCCAGATGTTATACAGAAAAGATGTTGATTACAATCACTTGAGATCTTTTGGATGCTTATGCTTTGCAACTACTATCTCACAAGGAAGGAACAAGATGCAAACAAGAGCCAAGAAGTGCATTTTCTTGGGATTCCCTGCTAATATAAAAGGGTATATGGTGTTTGATATGATTGACAGAGCTGTTTTTATTTCCAGAAATGTGACTTTTCATGAGCACATTTTTCCCTTTAAAGAAGGATACTCAGGGACTGGTTCTGACAGTGCTGCACCAGAAAGCCTTGGACCTTCTCTCCCTTTGGTCCCAACATATATTGAAGTAGACTTTGGTGTATTGGACCAGGCTGGAAAACATGATGAGAGTGGAATGGTCAGGGATACTTTCTTGAATGACCAATCTGCAGAAGTCCAGCTATAACATCAGCAAACACCAGACATTCATGTGGAACTTTCACAGTTCAGAGATTATTCCATTGGTCCTAGTCATGCTTATGACACACATTCTTGCTCTGAGAATGACTTCAGGAACACTGACAATCAGGCTGCTCAACAGTAACCTAGGAGATCTTTGAGAACAAGAAATGTTCCCTCAAAGTTACAAGACTATATTTGTCAGACTGCCACATCCAACATCACCATTGCCAGAACTTCTCCCCATCCTCTAGAGAAGTTCATCTCTTACCAAAATTTACCTCCTGATCATAGAATATGTGCAGCTGCTATCTCTTCCTCTGAAGAACCACAGTCTTATCAAGAAGCTGTATTACATTTGGAATGGAGACAAGCCATGGAAGCTGAGATAAATGCTTTGAACCATAATAAAACTTAGATCTTAACAGAATTGCCAATTGGTAAAACCCCCATTGGTTGTAGATGGGTGTATAAAGTGAAGCATAGAGCAGATGGCTCTATAGAGAGGTATAAGGCCAGGCTGGTTGCAAAGGGTTATACTCAACAATTAGGTGTTGATTACATTGAGACTTTCTCACCTGTGGCTAGGATGACCACAATCAAAACCTTCTTGGCTGTGGCTGCTATTAAGGGATGGAACATTCAGCAACTTGATATCAACAATGCTTTTTTACATGGTGACTTAGAGGAGGAAGTCTACATGGTATTACCCCCTGGTTTTAAGAATGGGAAGCCAAATCAGGTTTGCAAGCTTATGAGATCCTTGTATGGCCTTAAACAGGCAAGTAGGCAATGGAATGCCAAGTTGACTAAAGCTTTACAACTGTATGGCTTCCAACAATCTTCTGCAGATCCCTCTTTGTTTGCTAGACAAATAGGAACATCTTTCATTGCCTTGTTGGTGTATGTTGATGATATCCTTTTGGCAGGAAATGATTCTGTTCAAATAAATGAATTGAAGCAGTCATTGGATAAACATTTTAAGATCAAAGACTTGGGCAACTTGAATTATTTCCTAGGCATTGAGGCTTTTAGAACTGATGCTGGAATTAACATTTGCCAAAGGAAATATGCTTTGGAGATCCTAAAAGAACATGGTTTTTTGGAAGCCAAGCCAGCTAAGACTCCTGCTGTCACAGGACAGAAACTGAACAACTCTGATGGGATTCCCATCACACAACTTGAAGTTTTCAGAAGGTTAGTGGGGAAACTCTTGTATTTAACCAATACTAGACCTGACATCTCTTATGCAATCCAGCAGTTGAGTCAGTTTGTGGAGAAACCAAGAGACACTCATATGGTAGCAGCTGATAGGGTGTTAAGGTACCTAAAAGGGGCACCTGGAAAAGGCTTGTTCTACCCCTCTAATTCTCTTATGAAGTTGCAAGGATTTTCAGACTCAGACTGGGCAACTTGTGTGGATAGTAGGAAATATGTGACAGGATATTGTATCTACCTTGGCAACTCTTTGATTTCATGGAAAACCAAGAAACAAGCTACAATCTCTAGATCATCTTCTGAGGCAGAGTACAGGGCCTTGGCCTCCACAACTTGTGAGGTACAGTGGTTGTTATTTCTGTTAGCAGACTTGAAGGCAACATTCTCTACTCTAGTAACTTTGTATTGTGATAACAACTCTGCCATTGCTATTGGTGAGAATTTTGCCTTCCATGAACGCACTAAACACATTGAGGTTGACTGTCATGTGGTTAGACAGAAGATCAATGAAGGGGTTGTCAAACTTCTTGCTGTTTCTTCCCAAAATCAGAATGCAGATGGCTTCACAAAAGCCTTGTCTAAGCCTTTTGTTTGACAAGTTCCATGATAAGCTGGGCCTTCAAGATCTTCATGCTCCAGCTTATGGGGGGTGATGAAGTAATGCACAGCTCAATCATCCTCAGTCATCTCAAACATCTCAATAATGCATAATGCAACACCTTCTGCTTTCTTTCCTAGCTTAATAAGTCAGGGGCCTTTTTGGTCTTTTCCCTTTCTCTTTGGCAGTTATAACGGCTTGTCTATATAGCCTATGAAGTGTTAGCTGTATTTCAGTTAGTTATTCATCTTCTCTTTCAGCTTGTAATCACATGAACTCTCTTCACCTTCTTCAATGGAACACATGCTGCTTTCTTTCTAACCTTTGAGGTTTCTCAACATAACGACGCCACTGAAGGGATTGTTATCTCGTCTTCGTCGTTCCCGTCGATCTTTGTGGCTGTCCTGAACAGACCTGAAATGGTGGTCCAAGGAATAACATTCGAGACAGCCTTAACCGGCGTTATAATGTGTCGTGTGTTTTTTAGACCCATAGACTCTAGACCATTTATAATTTCCTCGAATTTTTGGAACGTGTTTTGGTCTTGGCCGTCCTGTTCTTGGGCGACAATCAACTTGGTTTCAACCCTGGAATTTTGTAGGAAAGAAATCTCCTGAATTGGAACCTCAATAACGTCGCAAGATGACGCTGGACCTTGATCCTTGACAATCAAATGGTACATGAGATCTAGCAGATGCAGAGGTTGTCGGCCGGAATCATTGAAATTCCTCGATTCCATTGAGATTTTCAACGGCGAATGCGCCTCGCAAAACCTCAACAACATCAAAGATACTTCATCGAAAGGTGATGACAGTTCAACTAGCTTCAAGATTTCTTTAAGAAGAACAACAGGAATCTGATTCTCGAGCAGGATTATGTCCCGAGTGAGAATATTGTCATTTCTGGGATCATAGGACGACAAAACGTGGATCAAGAACAAAGAATCAATGGCGATAATCCAAGCCAAAGTGCCTTCTTGGAGGTCCATGAACCTGCTGTAACACGCACGAATCATGGGGTCCATTTGCTTCAACTTATCAACAACAATGTGTTGAAAGTTGAGGATTTGTAAGGGGTCAAGAATCTGTTTAATGGCTGCAAGCTTGTACCTCTCCATGTGATAGAGCTCGGGCTTGAGATGATGGTAAGGCCCCAAGCCTATCAAATGAGAGGTGTAAGCTTCTGGGTTTTGATCAATCAAGAGTTTTGGGACTTGGAAGACACTTAGGGGTGGGAGATTATCAAACTGAACTTCAGCTTCTTTCTTGAAGATATTGCTTATTCTATCTTCCCATAGCCGTGCACCAGAGAATGAATTAGAATGTTTTGGCTTTTTCTCCAAGGCCATTTTGTTTGTATGTGTGTGTGTGTGTTTCTTTTAATTTCTTAGCTTCAAAAGGATTGAAAAACTTGTATGGTTTAGTTTGGTTTATATAGGGATGAAAGGGTGGGGTCCGTGGGGATCGGATGGAAGCATCGCAATAAAAACAAACCAATGCAATAGTAGTCAGCCTAGCTAACTAGTAGGATTTTTTTTGTTCACGAAATATATTTAAAAAATGAAATATAATAGTATTTTTGTAAATATGTCTATTCGCCTTTCCCATACGAAGAGATCAAGAGAATAGCTATTTTAGTATATACAAGTTAGCTCAATGGTTCAGTAGGCGCTATTCGTTCTTTCCTTATGAGAAGAATAACTGTTCTAAGTCTGCACAAGCTAAGTTTATTGGTTCAGCAGTATTTGGAGCAAGAAACCAAGGTTCGAAATTCGATAGCGGTAGTGTAGGATTATGCACAAAGTGGGACAAATCATCCTTTGTATGCACCGGCATCTGGCTTTGTCTATTGAGCAACTGAATTATCGTGATTTACATTCTCTCAAATGTTCTGCTAGACCAGAGTGTGGGGTCAACCTTAGCTTTAATTTAGGGGCAAGAATAGCTATTCTAAGAAACACTTACGCCATGTTTGGTAACATAGTTATCTTATCAGTCAATTTTGACTTGTTTAACCACTATTAGATGTTTGACTTGGTTAAACAGTCCATATGAGTCTTTGGTTAATCAATTCTTTTTGTAACAGATTATTGCTCCAAAACTCTAAAATTCAATAAGTTACTCAAAATAGCTTTTTCGATTAGTTTTTAGAGAAAAATAAATTAGACCCTTAAAAGACATTTTGCATGTAATCACCTAGTTAACAACTAATTTACCAAACATATCTCTACAACCACCTAATGCAATCAGCTAGTCAAACCTGTTAATTCAATCCGCTAACAATTATTTGCCAAACACCCCATTAGTATTAATTAGACAATTTTTGAGTTCTTAACAATAACATTTTAAAAAAAATTAAAAAAAAAAATATTTCTATCATATCCTTTAATCCAATCAAACATTATAATAAAATTTATTTCGCCTCCAAGCAATTACTAGCAGTTAAGTGGCACCCTAATTAACAAATTAAATCCAACGGTTATCAATAAAGGATGTCTTAGTATATGTATGGCTGCTTACTTGCCTAAAAATGGTTGAGCATTGAGAGTCTTCTCTTGTGACAAAAACAAGAGTCTTCTCATTATCTTACTTGGTTGCTTGTGGATGGTTCTAATTTCTTCTACATGATATGGTGCTATGTGCCAATGTGTTATTGTTACTTGTTAACCTATGTGCAGTGACTTTTCTTTCATGCATGTGTTGAGTGTTTTCTAGCTAGCTTAGCTTCTTCACATGTCTCTCTTTGCTTCTTCTTGTTGTTGCCTACTTGCCTTGTTATCTATGAGTGCGTTGGGGGTTATATCTTAGCACGCAGTTGCGCTTAAGGTTAGTGCCAAATTAAGAAGGTAATTAAGTAGCATATATTCTAGTTTGATGAAAATAACCATATAAATATACCTTTTAAGTGTTAAAATAGCGGACTTAAAGTGTTACAAAGGCGCACCTTAAGTATTAAAATAACGCACCTAAAGTGTTAAACTGGAACACCCTTAAGCTTTAATTTGAAAATACACACCTTAAATTCCAACAATAACGTAGCACCTTAATTAAGTTTTCAGGTGTGGAACTAACACACCTTAAGTATTAAAAAGACGGACATTAACCTTTAAAAATACACACCTTAAGCTTTCAACAATACGCAAAATTACCATAATGTCACTGCATTTTTTTAATTAGTGTTAATTTTGGGAGGTTGATTTTGACAAGATAATGGCTATGATTAAACCGCTGCATGTTTTACCTGGAGACCTTCTTTGCATTTGATCTCTATTATATATATATATATATATATATATATATATATATATATATATATATATGGGGAAGGGATCAGGTGCGAGAAGGACTTCCCGTGCGGTTGTACGGTTGGGCGCACATTAAGCATTAAACTGACGCACTTTAAGTACACAACACACGTAGATTAAGCACACAAACGAAACACCTTAAGAACACAAACCAACGCACCTTAAGCACAAAACTCATGACCTTAAGCACAAAACACACGCACCTTAAGTTTCAACAACTACTCACATTAAGTACAAAACTCATGCACCTTAAGCACAAGACTCACGCACCTTAAGTTTCAAAAACTACTCACATTAAGCACAAAACACATGCACCTTAAGCACAAGACTCACGCACCTTAAGTACAAAATTCACGCACCTTAAGCACAAAACTCATGCACCTTAAGTTTCAACAACTACTCACATTAAGTACATACCCACGCACCTTAAGCACAAAACTCACACACCTTAAGCACAAGTCTCACGCACCTTAAGTACAAAATGCACGCACATTACTTACCGCACAACTGCATGGGAGACACTTAAATGCAGGGGAACTTAATTCTACATATATATATATATATATATATATATATATATATATATATATATATAATTATATATATATATATATATATATATATATATATATATATATATATATATATATAGTTATAGTTATAGTTATATGGTCAGTCCTGGCCATGTCTGGTAAGGGTGACCGCCCCCAATTTCTTTTAAATATTATATGTAGATATAATCTATTATATTTATACTTGGTAATTATTTTATTTTTTTTTTAATTCATAGATTATTGGTCTTAGTTGTAATTTAAAATAAAATTTTAGAATAAATTGACATCAAAATTTTGGTGAATAATATAATTTTGTATTTAAATATGAACAGAAAATTACACTTTTAAATTAAATTTTGAATTGTATTCTTTCTTTGTTAAATCTGTATGCATTATATTTGGACAAAAAAATTTAATTTATGTTTATTTTTGTGATATAATACAATAACTGGCGTCAAAATGGATTTGAACTAAATTACCTCAGTTATAGAGATTTTCTAAACTTCTATCTTCATTTTCAAATGTCTTTAGATTATGTTTCTTACCTTTATAAATAGAAATCACTAGCAAAATTAAATTTAAAATAACTGTCACTCCCTATGTTCTTGTCTCTCTATTATTGTATTTGTCTTTGCAGTTTACTCTATCATTTGCATCTCGTAACAAAAATAATGATGGTCCAAATTAAACTATTAGACAGGACCCTATTTTAAATTGAACGGTCATATATATAAATATATATATATATATATATATATATATATATACACGATCTCATGCAAACGGCTGCTAAGGAGAGAACTACGAACCAACTAGCGCACGCCACATGTCCTTTGGTGCATGTAAATGTGTTATATGTGCAAATATTTGGTGCAACTATGTAAGTAAAAAGTGCAGGTAAAATCACTTACAAGTGCACCTACTTTCACTTAGAAGTGCATATAATTTTGCTTTGTCAACATTCATTGATCGGGTGCACATAATTTCACCTACAAGTACATGTAATTTTTCCTTGTTAACATTCATTGATTGGGTGCACCTACTTTCACCTGCAAGTGCACCTACTTTCTGTTGTGGCCACATGAATCGTAGGAAATATTTTAGAATTAGTTATATTAATTAATTTATTAATTAATTAGGATGATTATATTTAAATTATTTTATATTTAGTTTGTTAATTAGAATTATATTATTATTTAAGTTTATCCTAGTTTGTTGGTTAGATTAGTTTATCCTATTTTTAATAACTATCTCATTTATGTGGTTGTAATTTGCTTGTTAATGGCTATTTAAAGTCATTGCGTGCCAAATGAAAAATAGAGTTCAAAGAATTTTTGAGATAGGAAACTGAGTGTTTTCTAGAACTCGGGAGAGTTCAACCATGATCAAGTCATGGTGATCCTGACTTATCAAATGTGAAACCTCACTTGTGGCGTCGTCCCAAATCCTACGTATCACCTTATAACCCGGTGTGGCCGAGGACTTATCAAAACCCAAAAATTAGCCCTTTTCCCAACCTAATAAATTAAACCTTTTAATCAGATTTCACCTAGCCTAATAAACTATTTTAAAATATTATTTTAGTTAGAGTGTGAAGAGAAGATCGGGTCAACCAGGTTCGCATCACTTTCAACTTGCACCTACTTGTAACTATAGGTGCACCTAAGTATAACTATAGGTGCACCTAGATTCGGACACGTGGCACGCGCTGGAGAGTTCATCGTTCTCTCCTGGGCGACCATTTATATATATATATATATATATATATATATATATATATATATATATATGTATATATATATATACACACACATACATACATATATAAAGAAAGACAACATTAATAAAGGGTATCATAAAGGATACTAATTACCAACCTTCACTTATTCTTAGTCAATTTTAAATTATAAAAGAATTTACTACACAAATTAAAGCACCATGCAACGGGAATAAATAAACAAAAAATGGACCACACCTATAGAAAGAATCTTTCCAAATCTTTAATAGTTTATACAGTCAAATCAAATAATATGCATGAAAAGTCTGTATATAAACCAATATTAGTAACGACGTAACGATGGGGAAGTTGACTGCAGCATGCGTGCATGCATGCATCTCAGCTCTTTCCTACGAGGCCTCATATGACTGACAGTAACAGACAACAATAGTTATAATTGAT